ACATACATACATACATACATACATACATTACATACATATATATACATATATTGTAACTGGTAGAGCTCCCTCTGATAAAACCAAGACCACGTCCAAATGGGAATCACAGCTGTTAAATGGATGTCCTCACCCTTTCCACACCTGATTGTCCCACAGCGAAACAGTCTCTTGTTTTGGCCTGCACAAACGTATCCTGCAGAGGTTTCGAACTGCTGCTACCGACTGGACTGGCAAGTCCAAAGTGACCCTGTCACTTCCGTGCCCTATGGCTGCAAGGTATGAATACCCGCTACCACCCTCTCCAAGCTCCCTGAGCCACAATGCCTGGCGACATATAGGCTTTGGCTCTTGTTCCTGATTTGCACATGGATTGGCAATGGAGGATGCTGCATGGTGGAAAATCACACTCGTGAAAACCAAAATTTTACAGATTCAAACTCCTCATGCAGCATCGGGCGACACTGATTGCTCTAGCGGCGTCTTAAGCCATCTGAGTCGATCTTTTGATTTGGCTCGTTCTTTCAGAGTGGATTGTTCATCATAGATCCTATAACTGCCGAGTTTCAAAGTTTCTCTCAAAAAATGGGAGTCCATGGACTTGGTGAGTGCATCAGCTAGCTGTGCGCCGCTCGGAGCCCACCTTAAATGGGTACCCTCTTTGAGGAAGTCTTTGATGGCTCGTGCCATCAGTTGAACTCTGAATTCCGCACATTGCGGTGGGGCGGTCTTGGTGATCAGGTCATACAGGCTTTTGCAGTCCGTTATCGCCACATCTGAATCCAAGTGCTTTGTGGGAATAGTAATGGCTGGTGCCAATTTTTGAAGTGTCTTTTCAGGTTGTTTCCATTCTGTTGAAGGGTCATGTATCCAACTCCAAAGTAATCGTAACCACGACAAATGGTCAAGCGTCGTTGAGAGTGCCATCGTTTCAGCTGCCAATGTACTGGTTACAACCTTTTGAATTTTGCGGCATCCCCAAGCTAATGGACTGATCGGACACTGCATGTTTTGGCTGATGTCCTGGTGGGTTCCTACAATGATGGATCCGGCATGGGAGTCAGGTTTAGATGGCGATGAGAATGATGCGTCGGAAAATGCAAGGAATCTGAAAGCTTTTGGTGGGATTGGTTTCAATTGAATTGTTACCTCATGGTGTTTCTTTGCTTCATGGAGAACCCGGTTTCCTTCCATCAAAGTTTCCACCGTAGCCCGATTGATTGATGATTGTAAGAGTGAAAGTTTACTTGACAAATCTGGTCTGGTGTTGATTGCTGCGTATTGGAGGCTCCCCACCAATGCACGGAGTGCCAATCTCTCTTCTTCATTGACATGACTTTCAAGTTGCGTTTTGCGGTTGGCTTCAATCGGGATCGGCTTGATTTTGCGTACATAAGCTGATTGATTCATGGTAATGCTGTAGTCATGATGTTGTGTCATCTCAATCCCAGTGAATGTAAATGACGAAACCTTGTGAGATCCAAATGGAAACTTTGCCTCTAGTTGACGAATTTTGGCTTCAAAGATTTCACTGCCCCCTCCGATCCCATCATCAACATGAATTCCTAAGATTCCCTCTAGTCTTGCGGTTCCATCGTTTTCGTAGGATCTGAGGATCATCAGGCATGGGTCAAAAGGGCTTTGTTCAAATCCCAGCTTCACAAGTTCGGATACCAGGGCACAGTACCATAGGTAAGGAGCGTCTATGAGCCCATATGCACTTTTGTTGAGGCGACAAACTTCCTGGGGTTTCATGCCTAGTGCTTTCCGGAGTTCTGGGACGGGGTCTATAGCTGTCACTCGGTCTGCTTGTGGTTGTCCCTGAAGAAATGCAGCCTTTATATCAAAACTTCGCATGGTCCAGTTGTGAGATGCAATTACTTGAAGGGCTATCATTCGAGAAGTCTTATTTAAGGTTGGGGAGTCACGAGGAATTTCTTCAATCCGTGGATCAAGGTATCCCAGTACCACTAACCTCGCCTTTGCTTTATGGGTTCTCTCGGAAGTTTCCTTTAGATCCGCTGTCTATGGGCTTCCAAGTTAGAATCCAACGACATCTCAAGATTTGCTCTTCGGGTATTTGATTTCTCAGTACCTTGCTGATGGTTCCTGTCTTGATCCAGTTCTGCACTTCACTTTCCTTGGCATCTTGGAATTCAGCTTTTTCGGTCGGTGTGAGCTCTGTTAGCTTGACCTCCGTTCGTTGTTTCTTTGCAGAAGTTGCTAGCAAAATCCATGATTCGGCCTCATCTGGTGTCTGATGAGTTGTGTTGATTCCAATGTCAAACTCAAACTCACATCGCCATGCTGCCGGTTCCATCACTTCGCACGTGAGGGCATTTTCTGGTTCTTGGCATGTGATTCGGATAACATCTTTGGAATTCTCTATTGTCATCATGTTGGGTTCGTCATCGTCCTGATCTCCTGAGCTGAATGGTATTTCATCTGAGGTTGCATTGTCTGGTTCCTGATCTGGTTGTGGAATTGAGTCATCTTGACTGTCTGTATCCGTGCTATTGTTATGGTGTTGATTGCTGGGTCCTGAGTCTGCATTATTGGTGATTTCATTTTCTTGACTGTGGTCTGGTGGATTGTTATGGTTATCATCGTTATCCTGGTGGTTACTTATTTCTGGGGTTATGTCATCGCTGTCCATGGGATTATGAGCTTGGGATTGCATTCTTTGGATTTGTTGCATCATTGGGGTTATGTCAGGTGGTAATTCAGGACCTTCTGGGGATCCTTCTTCAGGAAATGCCTTTCGGGTGTTCTCTGGTGCACTACGGTGAATCTTTCCCCCCGAGGTACACCATACCGTGTATTGATCATCCTGAATGACTACTCGATGGGGTCCCTGCCATCTCGCTTGTTTTAGTGGGTTTTCTTTCCAAATCATCACCCAATCACCTTTGTCAAAACAGCCACGGCTTGGACATGAACGCCTCAGGGCAGCTCGGCGCAATGCGTCGCTGTTGTCAGCGACGTGGTATGCCTTCCGTGCTGTTTCTCTGACAGCCAGCATTTGACGAAAATTCTGACTGGATGGTGAATTTTCTTCCAAAGCATGTTCATGGGCAGGTCGGGATTCATCGCACAACACTGAGCCTGGCAGTCGTGATTGTTTCCCAAACACTATTATTTCGGGTGCATAACCATGTCTAATACTCAAGGTATTCTTTGCATGGGTAGCCTGATTCAGGGACATTTGGAGGGCATCATAGTCAGAAATTGGATGTTCCATGTCGATTTTATCCAACATACTTTGTAGAAATCCCCCATGTCTCTCTACTTTCCCGTTTTGCCAGTGGGCTTCTGGTGCTGTCGTGGTGTGACGAATGCTGAACCTTTGTACAAATTCTTCGAACTGAGCGCTGTTCATCTCGGTACCGGAATCGGTCACTAGCTCTTGAGGAGGACCTGCCCAGCTTATCCAGTGTTGGTTCATGATCTGGATTAGATCCTCTGTCGCTTTGGACGGTGCTGCAATGGCCACATGGTAGTTGGTTCCAGCATCAAGGATGTGATAAAAGTGATAACTCTTCCCCTTTTGATTGGTCCAAGTCACCCCATCTACGTATATCCGATGGTTGAAATCCAACATACTTTTCAACGTGGCTGGCCGGGAATGCTTTGGAGGCGCATTGGCAGCGCACACACGGCATTGAATTTCCTGAGCCGCTTGCACTACCGCGGGTCGTGATCCACTGATTTGGAGGGCTCTTGCAAGTCGGTCATTGGAAGGGTGTCCGAGATTCTTATGCATTCTCAGGATAGTCTGCTGTTCCCATCGGGGTAATTGCCTAAACCGGAGGCTTTGTTGTTGCATGACGGTGTCAGGGATACCTTCTTGATCCTGTTTTCCTTCTCGGTGGGTCATTTCATCAACCGACTTGGTGTCCCCATCTTGGGGTAGTCCGTTGCTACTCATGCAAGGCTTTTTCTCCGAATCACTTGCTGTGCTCGGGAGAGGGTCTCTGTTGGACTCTGGAACATCATCGCCAGGGGCCTCCGAGCCTGGTGCGGCATTCTCCTGTGCATTGGATTCCCTTGAATTGTCTCTGTTTTGATCTGTCTGGGAATGGTCATAGTCCTTAGCAAATGCTGTGATGTTCAGTCGACTGGCATGCGCAGGGCGGGTCAACTGTCGTTTCGATAGGTGAATCCATCTTTCCCAGTTCTTTTCGTATTGGATGCTCCCATCTCTTCTCAGGATTAGGGCTTTCCTGTATGGAGCTTCATGTGGATGCAAATTGGATGGTGGTGCCACAGTGCGTTCGGACCCCTTACAACCCATTACCCGTACTATTTCTTTGTCAGGAAATATGTTTTGAATTTGCTGCATTAAATCCCCATTGGTTATTTCCTTGCATCCACTTAAGCGTATTACGGTATTACAAAAAAAAATTGGGCTTTGGAGATATTTTCTCGTTTTGTTTTTTTTTTATTAAGTTATTTTCAGAACTCGTTCTTTTGTACCTTCAGACTTTGTTACAAATACCTTCATGGCTTTTAAAACCATGCCACATGCGTTCTTGTAGAATTCTCATCTCAATTTTCCTTAGTTGTGGTATATAACACATTTTTCTTCTGACACACTTCTTGTGGGACAGCTTTTCTGTTCTCTGCCTGGCGACGTCCATAGAAGGACATTTCTCGTATAGACGCCCTGCTAGATATTTTAACAAGTGTCATGGATATTTTCTTTTCTCGTTTTCTTTTGGCTCAATGGTTAGATGCGCCGCTCCATTGTGGCTGTTTCGGCCGCAGTACTGGCTGGTTCGGCCATTTTAGTGGCTGCTTCGGCCACAGCGGCAATGTCAAGCTTGGAAACCGGGGCCAAATTCAGATGGCGTAGTTCGGGCAAAAAATGGTGTAACACGTTCCTCATCTCAGATGGCCAGCCAGAGCTAGGGTCATGGTTAGATGTGAAGCAGCAACCTTGGGGTGTTGGTTGTAAAGTGTGCAAGGAAACTGGGGTTTCCAACCCTTTCGCTTCTTATTCAATGACCAAGAAGGGCCAACTGCAGAACTGCAATTTGATAAAGCACCATAAAAGCAAGGCGCACAAGGCAGCGGTGAAGGAATGGTTGAAGGAAGGAGGCTGTGTTGGTCCCAGTCCCGATGCAGCCCCGTCATTGAGTCAGTTTCAAGAGCTGATGGAGTGCTTTGGCGACAAAAGATCATTGTCGCAAAAAGAGCTGCAAATGGCATGGTGTTTGGCAGAGGGGTTAAAAGCTTTGGACCAAAAGTTCATTGCGAAATCTTCTCGCATTTCTTTGATGCGGGATGAGCGGCATGGGCGGTTGGCCATACGATTCATGGCTGTGGCCCCAGACTTGACAACTCGAAGTGGCTTTTTAGGCCAAGAAAGGCAAGCTGGAACAGGAGCTGACAATGTCTCCTTAGCCACATGGGCAGTCATGAAGCGTGCTTGCTCTAGATTTTATATGGCCCCTCTTAGTCAGAATCCTGGGCGTTTGAAGAAAAATCTTTTTAAACACCTGCGGTCAAGAGTTGTGGCACTCGCTGCTGATGCAGCAGCAGATGAAATGGCAAGCTGTGAAATATTAAGGTCAGCACGCTTGAGTTTGAATACAGAAGACAATCAGCCAATGCTGCCAAATTTGCAACATGTTTTCAGGGACCGGGCGCACGCCAGCAGAAGGTTGACAAGCAGACCATGGAATGCGGACGAAAAGCTGAAAGAAGTGATGCAATACATGGGCCGAGGGCCAAGGTCAATGGCTAGGCTCATCAATGACTCCATGGAAATCAAGCGCATATTTGGTGAACACTGTCGCGCTTGCGACTCCACGATTGAGACTGCCATTTCATGCTTTCGGTCTGCGGGCCACAGGTTCGAATCCCACGCACGTCCCCTTGGCAGAACCTGCTTGTTTTTCCATGCTTGTGTGAAAACTGCCCTTCATTTAACCAAAGCACGAACAGATGTCTCTGCCAAAAAGGCGAAGGATTGGCTTCTTTGGATTTCAGAAGAACATCTGCTGCAGGCAGCTATGTTGGCTGATGCGGCCGACACAAGTCTTGCTTTAACTCGATCCTTGGATACGGAGCATGTTGATCCTGCAAAGCTGAAAGGTGACTTGCAAGTCTACATGCGACAAATTCGCAGTCTTTTTGTTGAAGGTCGTTGTGCGACTGTGTTCGGCTTCACCTCGACTGTTCTTACCCAATTGAAGTCGCCCATTGTTTTTAACATTGGGAACAGAATGAAAACTTTGGGTTCTAGCACCGGAGTGAACAGAGCAATTGTCGACACATGTCTCGGACGAATGCAAGCTTGGGTGAAACTGGCTGTTGCGGCCATAGAAGCAGAATTTCCTCATTTTGAAATTTGCCAAGCGTTTGAAATATTCAATTTGAAGGGGCTTCCGCAAGAAGGGGTGAACGCACATCTTAGAGCGATTTCCCACACATACAAATTGGATTTGCCCAGGCTCCGTGCACAGTGGGAAGACCTGTATCCCCGTGCCCAACTGGAATACAAAGAACAGGTTGGCTCACTGAAAGAAAGCAAAGATATGGTCCACGATGGCAACAAAGAAGCCTGGAGAGCTACTTTGGCCAGATACTCTTCAGCCAGACCATGCAGTCATCCCAGCGACGTTTTGCTTGTCGCATTGCAAAATTATTTTTGCTGCACGCCCAGTACTTCAGCAATTGAGCAAAATTTTAGTTTGGGCCAAATCCGGTACACAATGCAGCGGCATCGGTCCTTACCCAACAATGAGGAATTGGTCCTGAAACTTATATATGGTTTGCCTAAGCAAAACAAAGACGAAAAAGTTGAAATTTGCAAGCTAGCCCGTGTTGCGTGGGCAAACCAGTATGGCCGTCCACGGGACGATTCCAAAACTGGTCGTCGGGCTGACAAAGGAATCAAAAGAAAACAGGTTGACGCAGGTTTGACTGAGAGCAGCTTCCTTCGGAGACGTCGCTGCGCGGCTGCTGCGGCCGCAGAGTCATATTCAGGAACCCAGGAGCAAGCCGACCCCCTATTCTTCACTGAAGGTCATCAGAAGGAAATGGTTTTTTTGGAAAAGAAAAGCCGCATTAGGCGAATTCAGGCCACTGCGGAGAAGTCCTTACCAGACGCGACTTTGCAAGATCAACAAGACGCAGAGGCTGCTTCGGCCAGATTTGCAGAGAATCAAAAGAAAAGACGCGAGAAGGCAAGTAGGATTGAAAGGCATGTTAGCAACAAACACAGGGATGCCTTGCTCGCCGATTTTTCTGGCTCTAAAGCTTTCCTGGCTGTTTCGGCCAATATGGAATTGACTGCAAGTTTAGCCAACAATGGAATCCAAGTGACAGCGCAAGCCTCCCAAGCACATGTCATTGTTTGCGACAAGCCAGGTGAAAGCTTACTGCCAGCATCCCTACAACTGATGATAGGTTTACGAGGCTTGGTGGAAGTTTCCCCATCTTTTTTTACTGTTGGAAACGGTTCTGCTTTGAAATTTCATCGCGCTGTTTCGGTGCGTAAAGTTGTTCTTGTAAGCAAAATATGTGCAGAAAAGCATGATGCCTTTTGGAAAGATTTTCGGCAAGCGCTTCCTGGTGGGCATGGTTGGCAACTTCACAAAATGAATGCCGGCACAGTGGCACAGCTGCAGGCGAAGCAAAGGACCTTTCCGAAATACAAAGCATACGCAGTCATTCATGAGGATGAAACAGATGCGGTCAGTGAAGGGGACAAGCAAATTTTCACCATCCAGACTTTCTTGCATCGCATTCGTCGCGCAGACATGGTAGAGTCGTGCTCCGGGCTTATGAAATGACGACGCATGCTTGCGCAAAGAAAAAAGGGAGGATCACCTGTGTGTTGTTGGTCTTCAACTGGTTCTCTTTAAATCTAACTTGTAAACCCGAACCCCCCAGCAATGAAATAAACGATGGCATACAATTTATAATTGTTTCAATCTTTTGTGGGTTTTACTGTTCGTTTTCGCATTGATGTGTTGCAACATGTCTGCCAGGTTTTGTCGGCTCAAGTCATATACTTAGTGGCTGTTTCGGTCATCCTGGCTGTTTCGGCCAGCTGCCTTGACTGCTTCAGACCTCCTGCCTGCTTCGGTCCGCCTGGCTGCTTCGCCCAAATCAAGCTGTTTCGCATTCAGGGGTGGCTGCTTCGGCCTGCTGCTGCGGCCTGCCTGGCTGGCTGCTTCCAGCCATGCCTGTCCAGCTTCGCGTTCCCCGATTGGTTCGTGTGGGGAGTGATTTCTCTGGCTTGGACACAGGCATTTTCGCTTTGAAGCGGTTGCAGCTGCCGGTGGAAGTTTCATTTTGCAGCGACACAGACCCACACTGCAGAAAACTACTGGAAGCTGCTCACAAGCCAAAATGTTTTTTCGACGATGCCGAACAACGAAAGCCAGAGGATGAGATCCCTGTGGACGTATACATTAGTACCCCGCCATGCCAGCCATGGAGTTCACAGGGAAAAAGGAAAGGTCTCCAAGATCCCCGGGGGAGGTTGCTGAAAGTGCCTTTGAGGTATACAAAGCGGCACAAACCAAGGGTCTTTCTGATGGAGAATGTGAAGGGTCTCTGCCACCGGAAAAACAAACCGGTACTCCGCGGCATCCGAGCCACGTTAGAGAAGCTGGACTACAGGGTCTGGCTTGGAGTCTTAAACGCTGTGGATTTCCAAATCCCGCAAAAGAGACAAAGGCTCTTCATTGTCGCGATCCGCAAAGACTCCTGCAGGAGACCTTTCAAGTGGCCCAAAAACCTTGGTAAGCGAAGGCTGTCAGAGGCCTTGGACCCGATGCAGGCTGCAGATCGGCCTGGTCGGTTGCCGAAAAGGCTTTGGCTTTGGCTGCCTGCCGAAAAGTTAACAAGGAGGGCATTGACCCACGACAGGTTCCTGTTGCCATAGACGTCGGCTGCAGCCAAAAATATGCCACCTTTGGCATTGATGTCAGCCGCACCTTGAGCCAAGCTCGCGCCAAGACAGGCGGCTTCTGGATCAGTAGTCGTGGAAGGTATATGACTACAAATGAGATGTTGAAGGTGTCTGGGTTCCAGTCTTCTGAGATGCCAGATTGGAACCAACATGTAAGCAAGACTCAGTTGCAAGGAATGCTCGGCAATTGCGTGCCGATTCCTTTGGTTGGCTGTGTGCTCCAAAATGCCTTGTACGCAGCTGGCTTGATTTCCAAGCTGGCACCTTTTCCAGTCTGACCTTGGCTGCTGCGGCCAATCTGAAGCTTTTGTCGCGGCTTGTGTGGCCGATTTGTAATTAACCTACAATCAGACAGCCTTGACGCGGGATTTGTCAAGTCAAAAGATCGCAGCTAGCTGTTTCTATGTGTTTCGTAGTCACTCTCTCGCTTCAAGACTGCTGGCATGTGCCATTCAAGTTCCAACCTGTCTCAACTTGTCATTTGACAATGGTCTCAAGTTTTGGCTCAAACCGTGTTGTCGTCGCCTCTCTTCCTTTTTCCGTGATGCCTCTGCTGCGCTCAGAAGCGGAGACTGACGAGGCAAACTTCTGTCAGTATGTCTATGTGACACAGCTTTTTGTCAAAGAGAAGCCAGCAGATTTCTTCGGTCTCGCAGAGATGGAAGACGTGTACGAATGCACTCGCAATGCCATTTTTTGGTGCTACTGCCACCTGGCCCCAGACATCAGATCTGAATTTGAATGGCAGATTGTGATTGCACTGGACATGCTGACGACTTTGCGTTACACAGATCCCGACAGCTTCCCAGACAGCCGAATTGTCGCTGGTTTGCCAGATGCGGTGGAAGAAGCCAAGTTGCCCCTGACCCATGCAACCAAGCGCGACTTCTATGTGGCCACGCTCTTCATCAGCTATCTCGACGCTTGCCCGCTGAATTATTGTGGCTTCAGATGGTCTACGTTTCGTGAGAACCTGTGGGAGTCCTTCAACAAGGCAGTCCAGAGATCAGAAGTAAACAATGAATTGAAGATTGGCACTTCTCAGGAGCCACCTGGGTATTTCAACTCACCCAAGCTGATGCGGCCGAGGCTTAGTTAAGGGCGTCGTCAGGCTGCTTCGGCCTGCTCGTCGCCTGCTTCGGGCTGCTTGTCGCCAGGCTGCTTCGGCCTGCCTTAAACTATTTTTTGTAGTGGCTGCTTCTGCCACAGAAGCTTGGCTGCTTCGGCCAGCAAGGCTTTCGACAAGACAGACGGTCTCTTGGAAAATAGTGGCTGCTGACCGTGGCCTTCTTGGGGCCAGGTTATGAAACCCCAAAGAGTATTAAATCCTAAAGGGGTAATATTATAATTATTGTATGTAACATGATTTAAATTTAATACTAGCTATTCAAATGGGTATATTTTTTTTGGTCATATAAGGGATTTTGACATAATAAGGAATTTAAATAACTCTTAAGGAGACTCGGGCCCTCATTCGGGGACATCCCCTAACCTCCTAAGACTCTAATTCGGGGACGTCCCCTAACCTCCTAAGGGGTAATTCGGGGACATCCCCTAACCTCCTAAGACTCTAATTCGGGGACGTCCCCGAACCTCCTAAGGGGTAATTCGGGGACATCCCCTAACCCTCCTAAGACTCTAATTCGGGGACGTCCCCTAACCTCCTAAGGGTTAATTATCCAAAACCCTATCCTAAGGAGAGGGCGATTTGCCCTTTCCAACCGCAGGTCGGGGACGTCCCCTAGCTGTGTAAGGAGAGGACGAATAGAGGACGAATGTGTAATACTACTAAGTGTTTCGGTTTTAAAAGCTGTTGTCCTCTGTTTGTCCTCTCCAACCGAGCATCGGGGACGTCCCCTAGCTGTGTAAGGAGAGGACGAAATGACCTCTCCTTACACAGCATGTTTTACCAAAATCCTGCTGTGTAAGGAGAGGTCGTCGTCTTCACAGGTCGTCATGTTGAGCTTGGCTGTTTCGGCCACCCTGGCTGCTTCGGCCACCTCGCCTTCGTCGTCAGTGAGGTGTGTAAGAGAAGGCTGTGCGAGGACTAATAAGACATAAATATAAATTCCACATTAGTCCTCTCACAGCCCTGTCTCCTTACACACGTCGCTGCTGTCAGCGCGGGTTCTAAGGGCCCTCTCCTTAGAAGCCGTCATGTCGTCTCTCGTCGTTTGTTTTCGGCTCAGAGGCTTAGCGTGTAAGTTTGAAAGGTAATAAGCTGTTTCGGCTTAAACCTTGCCTGCACTCACAGGCTGTTTCGGCCTGGAGTGCTGACATGCCAAGCCCCATGGACTCAGGGTGGGCGCCCATGTTGTGTATCGACTGTGGTGGCGTCTTAACCCGTTATGGAGATGTCAAGTACGACGGCGAGGAAATCTACAAGGCGACGATGCCAGGAGCATGGGCTTTCCTGCTTTTGTGGCAGGCTTGCTATGGCGAAGATGCTGTGAGAATCATTTCGAAGGTGAAATGGTTCCCACACAAAGAGAAGCATTGGGTGGTGAGACACGCGATGTCTCTTGGGTTGTCCTCGGACCAGGTCTTCTTGACGGATCAGAACAGCAACAAAGGATACTACGCGCGCCGCTCCAATGGCACCGTGGTCGTCGACGACAGGCTGGATTGCTTGCAGAGCATGATGAACGGAAGCTCAAAAAGCCTGCAGACAGCTGTCCTGTTCGGGGGCGCCGATCCACGAAACGAGAAAAAGGTGCACTGCATCAGCGACTTCAGAGACCTTGCCGTCTTGCTGGAGGTCTACCCGAATGGTACGGTTTGGGACTGGCTCATGGACGAAGGCCCTCCAAACAAACCTCATGACGAAGCAGTGCGAGACGACCTCCTGCAACGCTTGAAGGCCATGGACGACGCCCGAGCCTGGCTACCAACTTCAACGGCAAACAAAAGAAAGGTTGAGGCTGCATCGGCCTTGTCGTCGAGCAACTGGGTCCCAAAAGGTTCTGCAGCGCCCGCCGGCGACAATGACGACGATGACGAGCGTCCGCCGCCTCCAGACAACGTCGTCTTTTTGTACCGCAAGTCTGCTGCAAAAAAACCAGTCAAGAAGGAATCGCCGCCGCCGTCGACGAGACCGCCAAAGCAATCCACAATCAAAGAAGAGCCGGACTACGGCGGCGACCAGGCCGACGACGACAACGACGACAATGACAATGAACAGGAAAGCAGTTCAGAGGAGGACCAGGAGGAGGACACAGAAAGCGAGGCCAAAAAACTTCGACGAAGTTCCTCCAAAAAATCCGGCAGCAGGCGGCGAAGCACTTCCACTGATGCCAAGATCAAAGACTTGCAAAATCAGGTGAAGCAGCTGCAGTGGCAGCAACAGGCTGGGTGGTACTACCCGTACTACCAGGCTGCGGCGGCTGCTTCGGCCGCGCAAGGCAGCCAGCCGGCGGCACCGGCTGCATCGGCCGGGCCGCCGCCTTGGGGGGGCCGACGTCCGGATTCGAGCTGGACGCAGGCAAAGATGAAGCGTGCCAAGCAGCACCGTGCTACCGGAGGGCAGACGGCACAGCGGATGACCCCGGCAATAGCATGTTGCCGATGTGGGAAGAATCAGCCGGGCGCATATTGCCCTGCCAGGTGCTGCAGGAGGTGCTGCACGCAGTCGAGTTGCCCACAGCACCATGGCTGAATCGGCCATGTGCTGACTGGCCTTCACTGGCTGCTTCGGCCAGGGCGAATCTTCACTGGCTGTTTCGGCCAGACGGTAGCACCACTGGCTGTTTCGGCCAGACGGCAGCATGGCTAAGACGGCCGTGCGACACTGGCTGCTTCGGCCAGGTCAATGACGACGGAACGCGACAGTGGAAAGGGGAAAAAAGCAAGCAGGGACATCAGGTGTCTTGGTCCAATCCGGGGAGTTAAATTATTAAAAATAAATATAATGATATGAAATGGGGAAGTAGACGACTAAAGACGTAGGAAGTTTTAAACGCTAATTTAAAGTCTCAAGTTTAAAACTTAAAACAGCAAGTAAAAGGGACCGTCTAAGAGTATTGAATCAAGTCAAACAGTTTGGGTATTGACAGACAATTAAAATCCGCAGCTGTTTCGTAGCTCATTCCCTGTAAATTTAAGTCTGGGGCGGGGTGCCTGGCTGATTCGGCCAGTGCCTATTGGCTGCTCAAGTTTGTCAGAAACATGCCGCCAAAAAAGAAACAAAAGACGACAAAGGCTTTGCCTGCACCTTGCGAAGACGAAGATCAAAGCGAGCCAGACCTTGGTCCCTCCAAGGCTCATGCATGATGCTTTGGCCCGAATTTTCTCACACGAATTATTCAAAGACATATTGACAGCAGACCCTTTGTCTGTCAAAGATGGCGGCAGAGAGGCAGCACTCGACGCTACTCAGGCTGCTTCGGCCTTGAAAAACGCTGGCGTCTATAAGTGTGCCGCCAATTTTTTCCATCAAGACTTCCTTTTCATGGCCACGCACAAAGTGCCTATGAACGAAGCGCAGGTGCAGCAAATCAAAGACTATTGGTTTCCCAAAAATGAACCGCCGTCATTGTGCCCCTTTGTCATCACAGTCGCTTTGGAAACCCCTGGCTGCATCGGCCAACGTCCACAAAACGGTTTCCAACGTCTCAGTCCTCCAGAGCCGGTACACGCCTTGCTGTTTGCACTGGCTGAAGCCATTGAAAGCAAAGCAAAAGTTGGAGTATTGCGCGCTTTCAGAAGTTGCATCCTCACTGCGACCTTTGTGTTCGAAATCTGTCCTGTTGGTGAAGACCGCTACTGGCGTGCACAAAACATTCGTGAAGAGATGGTTGAAAAGGGTTTGTCGGTTCAGTTGTCATTGCGCCAGCGTATATTTGATATTGCAGGCTTCTACGAAGCCAAAAAAAAACTGAGTCAAGCCTGGGTGCCAAAAAGCTGGCAGCTCTGTACACACAGCATCTCAAACTTGCGTCGAATCAAGAGAAAATTTCGGAAAGCTTTGTCGATTGTGCTTTGTCCATCCATCGCCAACTTCTCAGCATCCCCAGGTGTCAAGCAGTTTTGGAATGGTGTGACCAAAACTGGCTCACTTCGTCTGCTTGGAAATCAATTTACGCCTTGCAAGCATTGCTTGACAGAGGAGGCACGGTCCCTGGAAGGGATGGTGGATGGCGTCCGCATGTCTTTTCTAGATGGTGGACACTTTGTTATTAGCAAGCTGAAAGATTCAAGGGCCAGCTACATTGAAGTCCTCAAAATGAAGCGCAAAACTTTGTTGCATTTACTGAACACATGGCTGAATGACTTGAAGCTGGAGAAAAAATGGAAAGACAACATCAAGAGCTACTGCGGCTCCTATGAGATGTTGCGAAAGCATATTTCGCCATACCCTGATACGCAGGCTGATACGGCCTGGTTGCTGGGTTGCCCGCCAAGTGTTTCTGAAATTTGCGAGTTCCTGGATCAACTTGCCTTTGGATCCCACTATGACGCAAGATACAAGGATGCAATCAAGAGCAAACACGAGGTGGAAGATTTCTTGAATTACACAACTCTAAAGACCACCATGGAAACCATTGAAAAAATGACTCGCCAAGAGGACAAGCCCGAGGGACTCAATGGCGATGAAGAGCAGAAAGCAAGAACGGAAGAGGAAAGACAGGAAACAGAACTGGAGGCTGCTTCGGCCTCTGAGGCTGCTGCGGCCTCTGAAGCTGCTCCGGCTTCTGAAGAAGTGGAAGACAATGGTCTTAGTGAGGCAGACAAGGTCATGTGGAGACAGCACATGCGCAAGATCCTCAACCAGCATGTGCGATTTGTCGCCGATCACCGCACCAATGTGGAATTGGAAAGTGCCTTGAAAGAAACACCTTTCATGTCCTTGCGCGGAGATCAAACAGGAATGGCCCTCTTCCACTTTGATTTGAAAAAATATGGCGAGCCCACCACACGGCCAGACTTGAGAACCCCAACCTTTCGTGAAAACCTCTACACCCGGCTTGTCAAGAGCGTTCTTGCTGCGCGGCAAGACGCAATGGGCACTCCCAACCCCAACCTTCAGGCAGGGGAAGTTGCATTGATTTTCGATGCAGGAAAAAAAGGACTTATGAAAAAGTTGCTCAGCCCATGGAAAGAAGGAACAGCCAAAACCAAAGAGGAGGACGAAGAAGCGGAGGATGATGGAGAAGAAGATGCAGAAGAGGAAGATGACAAGCCGACCTTTTGCGTAGACACCCTGATGATTGGATATTCAGAGTCGTCGCTATCCGCACGAAAGAAGCGGCTCCGTGGAACTTGCACTCTGAAGCAGATGGAGTCATGTCACATTTTGTCATCCAAAAGGTTGTCCCTGCCAAGCCGTGACAGAAAGCACTACGCAGGTTCAACCACTGGCGACTTGATTTCCAACGTGCACATGCCTGCTTGGTCTTCTGAGTGGCAGCTGCCTTGGAAAGAAAAAAAGGAGCTTTTGGGGAAAAACACATGATAGCTGTCGGAGGTAAGACACAAAACAAGGAGGAAGAGAAGCAGAACAGCAGATCCAGCAATGGCTTGGAGCCAGTTTGCTTTCACAGTCCACCCTATGAGCTCTGCGACGAGTTGATCCACGACTTTTTCGCGAAGATCATTATCGATCTGACACCTCTGGACGGCCGCATGGCTTGGGCTGCCTTGCGAAATCGGGTAGGGTATGTCGGAGTTGCCTTCAACCCGGAGCACCAACGCCTTCTTGAAGACCGGCTGCTTGCTTTGCTTGAAAAGGAAATGACAAACCCTGAGTCCAGCTTGTTTTCGTCAGCTTACAGTGAAGCCGTCGGCGGTGGCAGTGGTAAGGCACCTGTGAATCAGACCGCAAAACCGAAGGCAAAGGTAAAGGCAAAGGCCAAAGGCAAGGGAAAGGCCAAACCAAAGGCTAAAGCAAAATCCAAAGCCAAGCAATCAAAGGATGAGCAGGAGGAAGGCGAAGAGGAAAAGGACGACAATGACGAGGAAGACGACGACGTCTGGGATCCTTTGGGAGACGACGACGATGACAATGAAGAGGACTAATGGAGACAAGTGATGGGGCTGCCTCGGCCATAGACGAGACGACGTGGCTGCATCGGCCATATACCACGGCTGCATCGGCCGTGTGGCTGCCTCGGCCATAGGCGACCTCTATGTCGCACTTCGGACACAGAGGCAGTTTTGATTGTGCCTTCCATGCGGGAAAAAAAAGCTTCTTTGAATTTCCCACAAACATGACATGGTTGAAAGGTAAAAAGTATGTATGTCGACTCTCTTAACTTAGGGGGATGTCATGTCCTGTTGTCAGTCGGTTTGTCTCATGTTTGCTGTACGTGTTCTGAAACATGCGGTTTCTCGCACATTTAGGCTCTAGGCTTAAACTACAAATGACCGTTTCCATGCCAATGACAATGATGCCGCCGCCCAAACTTCCACGACGACGTGGCAATCCCAGTGTAGTCACTAAGCCTGATGCCAAAGTCATCCAAAGGGATCTTCTCAAAAGGTTCCATGTAGAAAAGCTGTACCAGAAGTACAGGCTGCTTCAAACCAGCACATGGCCATCGGCAAGCAAGCTTGCTTCCACTATCCGGATCGAAATTGTGAGAAGAAAGGGGTTAAGTGGATGAATGAAAAAGAAAAACAATGCGATGAGAAGTAGCATGTTGGCTGCATCGGCCAAGCTATGGCTGCTTCGGCCAAGCTATGGCTGCTTCAGCACATGGCTGCTTCGGCCTATTCGAGTCTAATTCAAATGATTTCAAAATCTATGGGAACCAATCTTTAATTCACCTGTTTGTGGCTTGCACAAACCAAACTTGCTGTAGATATTTGGATTCCTCGTTTGTCCAAGAGGAAAAATGCGTGGACCGATGATTGAAGCTATTTTCTTGTCGTTGGAAGACATGACATTGTCACTGAAAGCACACACATGCATTAAAATTTGAGCGCACACGATCCGATATTTCACCCATGGAGACATTAGCAATCCTTTTGGTTACTGTTATATGCTTCCTTCTCCTTCATTCCTTTTACAAACACTTTTTTAAAAGAAGCTGCCTACTCCACTTTTTTATTTTTATTTCTCGTTTCAGTAACTGTCTCGTGTAAGTAACTTTCTCGTGTAAGGGCAAATTTTATTTGTAATACCGTAATGCCGCTAAGTGGAAGTAAGTTTCCCGAGTACCTACTCTTGGAAACACAGCTGAGATTGCCTGGATGGCTTGTTGGCACATTTCCAGCGATGGCTCATTGCCCTGGTGACTTTTGGAACGTATCCTCTTGTCACCTGGTCCACGATGTGGTGTCGGACTGAGCAATTCGGATCTGGCAAACTGCGGTGGCTGTTTGACCTTTGAGGTTGCCGCAAATGCGTCATTCTCAGGGCTTGAAAAACAAATCATTCCTGGTTGCCAATTGAACGGCCATTGATGATTGGCTTTTACAAAAACCCTGGCTACCGCTCTGGCAAATTTCCGGGTATAGTTCTCGTTATATTCAGATCTCAATATCATGGGCCCCTTCTCACACGGCCGGCACGATCCTTCAATCGGTTGGTGTTGATGCAATTGGTGACACAACATTCCATGAAAATGGTGATACAAATTGGCATGAGTGGTCAAAACAGTCATCCCCTTCTTCATGGGCATTTGTGACTCAGGGTCGACAAGACCACCAGCACGGCACATATCAAATTGGCAAGCCTGGGTGTGTTGGTGAACTTCGGCCAAGTTGGGGTTTTGAAACATGAGTGAACGTTGAGGTTGTTCCCAGTGAAAATGGTCTCCGTACATGATTTGATGACGATAAAGTGAGATTCCCAGGGCAATTTGATACATGAGTTCTTTGCGTTTCTTGGCATACTCTTGTTGGTGTAACAGGGATCGGGATTCGTTCAGTCTTGACCAGGATGACCATGGTCCACATGTGGGGCTATACCATAAGTGCTTTGGCCGGTGTCTGCCAACAAGCTGGAAGAGAGCCGCTCTTCCCTGTACGGTTGATAGGTCACCATTCTGGTAACTGAACCTGAACGCGGATTTTCCCAACTGCTGCACCTGACGAGTCAGCTGTGAGTTTTCACCACACATAACTTCTCCTAGCAACCAACGGCTACCTAAGGCAGGAGTTTGTTGTAACACATTATGAAGTTCTTGGTCAAACTGGGATACTAGTTCATACAGCTGACGAGTTTCGGAGTGCATTGCTGTTAGGACTTCCTCACCCCAGTCCTCTCTCACTGTTCCTCTTCGGCATGGATCATCTGCTGCATCAGTGCTTGGTCCTCGATGTGTCGAATCACCCTGGACAGTGCATTCTCCATGTGCAGCATGCGATCTTGAATGGCCCTCATGTCCTCCTGAGTGTAGATGTTCGGGCCGGTCATAGTCAGCGAGGCATATGTCTCTGGTTCGATATCCCAATCGGCCTCCCCATCTGGCAAAGAGGTGTGATGAGGAGCCACTGGGCTGGCTTTGGCCTTTGCTTTGGCCTGTCCCCGCACGGTGGTCGGTGGGTTGGACCGTGGAGGGATGGCACTCTGCTGTTGCTCCATGGTCTCGACCTTCAACTCCACGTACCGCAAGTAGCGGCGATGACCCTCTTTCGTGCTTCTCTGATACCGGCTCACCATGAATTGGACCCATTCCTGATCCTGCCACGTGTCTTGGAAGTGACAACCCATGTACTTCTGTCCGAATGTCACTACTTCTTGATTCAGATCTTCCAAGGTCAGGTGCTCTAGGCTGGCCAACTCGGTGGTGTTGGTTGGTATCTGCAGGTTTCGAAGGCACTGGCTGAGAGACATGTTCTCTGAACCTAACGGACTTTCTTTTCACCTGTGGAACAGGGGCACTTTGAGCCGATGGAGGTTCTGCACATTCGGCGGTGTGTGGTTTCGGCGGTTGGTTCTCCAGTGATTCTGGCATCTTTGAGTCTTCAAACACAAGGGATTCATTCTGAGGTTTATTGGACCTGCTATTATCTACCTGTTGCCTGAGACATGTGTGATCACTCTTGGCTGTGATCGTGATCGGCTTTGGTTGACCCTTTTCGGACACCTCGTCGGACACAAAGGTCTCTGCAAAAGTCTGTGCACCAGTTGTTCGACTGGCTGATTTGTTGTCCTTTGCAGCTTGAATCAAACTATTGATGTCTATCAGAAAAAGACCCTTGGGTGTCAATTGGAGTTTCACAGGCGTATTGAACATCTTGCTGGACAACGTGTGCTTGGCGCAGTCTATGCTTGCTTCCATGACCCTCATGAGAGTGTTGCTCAGCAAAAAAGGAGTTCCTCCCGGTACAATCGCCACTTTCAACAACAACTTACCCAGTGGTATGACCAAAGCTTGTTTGCTAGAAAGAGTAGCTTCATTCCCAAACCGAAATGTGACATGGCATGGACAGCGGGTCAACTGCTTCTGCGTGTCGGCATCAAGGCTGCGAATTAATTCAGGCAAACATTCACTACCGATTACGGTCTTGGAAGCACCTAAATCCAGTATGCCATAAGAAGCATGGGTGCCAAAACACACTTGGCTTTCAGACAAATTGGGACTGGCGGATGCTTGTCTCGGAGCTTCCAAACTCACTTCGGATCTTGGACAGGCATTCCTTTGAATCCGGTCCATGGCAGTCATGGCGGTTGGTTTCAGGTGGTCATTCTTCCTGGGCAGGCTTGTGCACTCCCGGACGTCTTGCATTTTGCATGAAAACCGGGCTTTTATTCTTTCATATGCCGTGGGATGTTTACCCTGCCTAACCATGTTATCCCCAGTAGATTCCCCATGAATCATCCCTACATAACATGGACTGCTCACCCCTGACATGCTGTGACACGACATAAACCTTGGCTGAGACTCATCTGACTTGGGCATGGTGAGCTCAGGCAACTGCACAAACTCCAGTGGCAGCATATCGTCTCCCTGGTCGGCAATCACTGTCGTGGTCGGCAAAGTGCCGGATGCAGATGAATGCGACATTCCGGAGGCTGAGGCTGTGGAGCTGGATTGTCTGAAAGGACATTCGGCCTTCCAGTGTCCCTTTTTGTTACATATCCTGCATGTGGAGTTCATGATTCGATCCTGCAAGCTGCGGCGAGGGCGATTGGACCATTGTCCCTTGCCTTTGCCACTGCCTTTGCTCTGAAACCCTTTTCCCTTAGAGTTCCCACTGGTATCCCTAGAGACAGGCCAAAACCCTCGGAACTTCGATTTGTCAGCAAGGCGTCGTCGAGCATCTTGATATGCAGTGTATGCCGATGCAAGGGCACTGTCCTCCTGCATCAGTTCTACTGCCGCTGATTCAAAATCAGCTATCAGCGTAGCATCAGGGTCGCCTTCACTGAGCAAACAATCCAGGATTTCGTCTTCTCCCATCTCATCAGGGGCTGCTAGATGGGCTTCATCATCATAGTCTTCTTCGGCGACCAAAGTGGTCGACTCATACACCTTGTTCTTCACCTGCTTTTTGGCACCTGTCATCTCATTGAAAAACGTTGCACCAAGGATTCGGATGGCCTCAGAAACCTTAGCTACTGTCAATTGTCCTTCCAGTGATTGATCAGATTCCAAAATTACCTTCTTCTTCTCCTCCGGAGACAGCGATGATCCTCTCAAAAGGATGAACGCCTGTAGATCACTGAGTTGCAATTTTCTGGATAACAACTTGCTCCAAGCCACATCTGCCCGAGCCAAATATGAGTCGTTTGACTCGTCTGAGTGCTGCGTTGTATGGAACAAAGCTGTTTCAGCATCCTCGTACTGCTTCTCCAATCCAATTTTGCCCCAGTGTCCACCCAAGAGAGTGATGATTTTACGGACAGATTTTTCATCGTTCTCCATCAACTCGGCCTGATGTAATTGCAGTTTGTCGAATGCACTTCCCTGGCAGTTCAAGATTAACCTCATTACCAGTTCTGTGATTCTCGTTGGTGGCCATGCTGCAAGTACAAGCTCTACTCGTTTTTGATATGTCTGTAAATCATCCTTTGAAGGGTTAAATGAAGGAACCAATGTGGCCAACTGTGAGCCAACTCCGGTGCT